AAAACTTTATAGGCCAAGGGCCTGCCAGATAGCTCAGCAGACGAAAGTGCCTGCTTAGGCAAAGCACAGCAGCCAGGGTTCGATCCCCAGCTTGCCGTGCTAGCCCTCCCCCAGGGCACACTGAGACAGCAATTGAAACTGGGCGTGCTAGTGCGTGCCTATAATCAGAGGCTGCAAGCAGGAGGATCACTTTGTAGCCCGATCTACATAGTGAGGTCCTGGAGACCCTGCAGATCCTGTACCAAATATATAAAAAATAACCTTTATGGGCTAAGATGTTTACCACCATAATAAAAGAGCAAAAGTCTAGAAACAACAAAAATTTCTTAGGAAAAAAGAATACTTGTTAAAATACCATTTATCATGGAAATATACATCACAAACAATGGCACTGAAAGCATTTCTTTAGTTACACAGGAGACATATGATGTTAGGTGAAGAAACTAAACAGCAAGATACTGTCCTACTCTGTGAAATAGCTACGTGTGTGACTTCGCCCATGTACAAGTGAATAATCTATGCTAAAGTGGAATGGAATCCAAAGTAAGTTTATCAGAATGTCCCTGAAATCCAGATGACACCGAGGGCTTCACACTCCCCTGGACTGCCCAGAGCTTCCCTAAAGGGCGTGCAGTCTTTCCCTAACACTGCCCCTGGACCATTCTGGAGGCCTCATATTTATTAAACAAATGCTCAGCAGGTGCCCTCAGGCAACATTAGTGGCTGCCTCGTCCACTCGTGAAGTGACCGATCAGGAGACACACACTGAGCACTCACTTCCACGCCACGAAGCCAGCATGCAGCTGCCCATGGTGCTACTAGTACGGTCTATCTGGATTTGAAACTGAGTTTCATTTATTTATTTGTTGACAACAGCCTGACTGAAATCAAATTTTTCCGGACTGAGATAAACAAAATTCATGAAAATGCCATTCTGAGCCTGCTAGTTTCTACACCTTTCATTCTAGAATAGACTCGGCGCTCCTCGTACAGCATATTTACAGCCACCGCCTCTGTGTTACTCCACAAGCCACTGTAAAAGCACACTCTGAACACTGGCATTAGGCGCTCAGCAAGGGCTGACTTAACTTTGGGATGTACAAAGATTTTCTGAAGTACTCTTTATAGGAAAAAAAGAAGTCGTGAAGTAAGTTTTTCAAGCTCTGGACAATTCTGAACTTCTCAATGATAGGAGAAATGTTCAAAAGTATGCCACTGACAGAGTTTTTTATTGTTGACCTTAACTATGAATAATTTTATGTTCTCAAGTATAAAATTCATAATTCTCATACTTTTTATCTCAGCGAGTGTAAACTGTAGGTGTTTTTCTTATTTATAAAATGTCTTATCCTTTATAAAACAAAATCCTGAAGCTATTTTTATATAGTGATTATTCCTGAAAAAAATTTTCTTCCACTTAAAAGGGGCCGTGGTGTTGATCGGGAGGAAATGGTAATTGCTTGCAATATACCTACAACGACTTCACGTAGGAAGGCACAGCTCCAGCTTCTCTGAATTGTACGAAGATCTTATTTGCTGTTCTTGCTAATCTGTCTTTATTTTTCCTGTACCCAGAACAATAACATTTATTCCTGCCTGGCCTCATTTATGTACAGATATTCAATTTAATTACAAAGATAATCTCACCGGTGACAGGGAAATAGGTGTAGAAAATTGGTCTTTTGGATGAGGCACAGCTGTTACAGAAACAATTTTAGAAAAGCTTAAGATTTTAGAAAAGCTATTATATGGAAAGAATGCTTACTGTTTATTTATTTCAAGAAACCGATAAAGATTAAATGTGACCATTCCAGTAGGTAACACTCCTTCCACAGGATTCCACCGGTCCCCAGGAAAGCGGACACCTGGCAAATGCTTCGCCACCTTGGGCAGGTACCAGTCGTACGTCAGCATCTGCCAGAAGACAGCACGCAGTACGCTTTTAGTAGACTTCTTTGCAAAAGCAAGGGCAGCAAGTACAGAAAGGTTCTATGGAGCAAACACGCTTGCTCAGTAACTAAATACTTTGAAACACAACAGACAAGTGCAGCCCTGGACTGTTCCTGCGACACAGTTCCTCACTTCCACAGTCACCCTGAGGGTGGGGCCTGCTTGTTTCCAGAAAGAGGGAAGCTTGCAGGTGAGGCTTCCTCCCCTCCCAGGCTCCAGCATACTCTGGGCCTATTCCTCCCAGGACTGGGCTCCAAGGGAAGGGTGCTCCTCCCTGTGCACAGGCCAGGCCACCACGGCAAGAGACACAACTATGTTGGCATAGCACAGCCTCATCTGTTCAGAGAGAGCGCGCGCTCATTCACCACAGAGAGTAGGACACAGTCTCTGCTCGGGCTCAGTCACGCTGGATAGGCTGCAAATTATAGCCCCCTGGCCAAATTAGCTCAATTTATTAGTACTCCCAAGTTAATTATATAACTTTACATGTTCTTTTGATTAAATTATTAGGAGAAAATCACTTTCTTAATACATACGTATTATTTAATTCTAGACTTTCATGTAGAGAATCCCTCTCTATGTAGAAAAGACGATACTCTGAAAGCTGTCTTTGAGTTTATGTACCATCATTGGAGCACCTGTGCTTGTTTTCCTTCATTAAGTGCTTAACTAGCAAACTGCAATTTATTTGTGGCACTAGGCATCAAACACAGGGTCACTTGACCAATGAGCTACATACTCATGATCTTTATTTTTCTGAGAGGATCTTATCTTACTAAGTTGCCCAGGCTGGCCTTGGACTTGCGGTCCTTCTGCCTCAGCCTCCTGAATAAGCTTGGCTTACAGGCATTCACCACCATGCCCAACTAGAAATTAATTAATCTAAGTATATCTTGCAAAATTCAAGAAAGACTGTATTAGATTTTATTATCCTATAGTTTCAGTTTGAGGGAACATCAATATTAACTAAATAGCCTGTGTGTTAATGACCCTAATGTTCCTTAGTTAACTTTCATAATTACCTTACTATATGAAAATATGTGTATCAGATACCGCTGGTGGCCTAGTTGACAGCTGCCACCTTGCTCTTTTGCTGCTGTCCTATTTGACCAGGGCAGCAGTGTGCTCCAGGCTAATCATTTGCTTTGCTAGTGACTGCTGCAGATGCTGGCATATGACCCACACTGCTGAAGTTCTCTCAGCGTGGAGGTGGCAGAGGCAGGGGCCCCAGAAGAAGCGCCTCATCTTAAGGAAGAATGTTTGAGAGTGAGCAACTGTCTTGCAACTGTGAGAGAAGACCCCCAAATGCTGCTGTTCTTGGGCTGTACATATCAATACTACAGTCACCTATTTCCCAACTACACATTATGTGATAAAACCTCCATAATTTATGGTCATCTTCCTCAGGCATTCTGTTTTTTGCATTCTAAAGCCTCCTGATTTATAATGATACCTTCTATCTAATGCTCTGAGAGAAAATCACTTGTCCCTCTCATACACCTAGGAAACGATGAAATGAAGACTAGGATTTAGGTCTTATTCTCTGAGATCCAGGCTTCTCAACTGTAGTAGCGGCAACACACACAAATAACACATACACATTATGATTTAAGTGCTGGTATTGAACTCAGGGCCCTACGCATGCTAGGAATGTACTCTACCACTGAGCTATACCACCCACATCCCTCCCCAAGTAGTATTTAAAATCATAGTATAATAACATGCTATCAGCAAGTAAATATTTTTTTTTTAAATTTATTTATTTAGTGTGTGTGTGTAGCCAGTTCAGCCCACCAGGGGCGGGGCTGGCTGGCATGTGGTGCTGGGGATTGAACCGCAGTCCCTGTGCTTCTGTTTAGCTTAGCTTGTTCTAAGTAGGTGCTTTAGACCACTGAGCCATCTCACCAGCCCAGCAAGTAAATATTTTTC